TATCACAGAAGTAGAAAAAAGAAAGTAGTAAACTCACCAACTACAATATCCCAAAAACACTGCATATGTAGCCGCTCCCAAGTAGGGGCTTGTTGCTGGAAAGACTCAATGAAAGACGCCGACGTTTCCTCTGATGATGAGTGCTAGTGTCACGTTAGCAACATGCTATGTGTTTACATCCATTGCCGCCATGTTTGTAATGACTTATCGCAAGAACAAATGTATTCACACCTGACTTTAATAGCATTTCTTACTTAATTGAAACACCGTAGTTGCGAAACTGTTTTTTCGACATTAACAGAATATCGACAAATTTTGCGCACGTTTGTAATGGAAATGCAGCTTCAGTTAATCTTTTTGTGGCACACCAAAACTAAAAGCCAGGACAGAATAATAGGACATTTACTATATACTTCTGTCCATGTTGGCAATTTTAAAAAATGTTGCAATACGGGAGTTAGGGAAACACTTACTGATATACACGGTTTGTTTTTTGACTTTACAGTTGATACAGTAATACTAGAGAACAGCACAGCCAGTGCTCAGCCTTTTGAAGCCAGTCTTCTCCACTCTTAAATACAGATTCATATTTAAAACTAGCATCCCTGGCAAAAACTGGCATCACTTGCTGCTTTATGCCCCTTTTCTACTAGCGCCTATACAGCATGGTTTGACTTGGTTCTCCAYGGTTCCRAGGATTTTCAACTAACAAGGATTTTTTTTTTGAACCAGCCCCCTTTTTTCARRACTTACTTCACTGTGGTTCCAAGTATACCACGCGGGCCTTAAAATGCAATGTCAGATGATTGTTGGTCACTGATTGGTTAGTGGGTGGAGTTACTGGTTGAGTCACAAGAGTTGCTGTCACAACAACCTGATCCACCATTTGCAATAACAACACTACCATGTCTTCCATTGTTGTGTTGCATATCTTTTCGGGGTCTTTTATTACCTTAATGGTGGCTGGAAAATAGCTTTATGGAGCCTAATTGCCACCAGCTGGTAAGGCGTGTGGCATCAATTTTGGACTCTTGGACCCAACTTTACGATGAACCCATCCACTAGAGCTGTTATTGAAGTGTATTGGAAAACCACCTGTGCTGAACAGAGTTCAGCCAAGTCCAACTGCGCTGTGTAGGCGCTAGTGGAAAAGGGTCATAAGATGTTAGAGAAGCAAACAAAGGCAGCACTGAGAGTATGTGATGAAGATAACTTTCAGCTGCTGTTACAAAGTTTAGCTCCATTTGTGTATAACTGACTTCAAAACTTAACAGTTGTAGATGTACGCCCAATGAATATTATCTGACTTCCTTGAGAATCCATTCAGTCAATCAGACACTTTGCTAACGAACGAGTTAATGTCATAGTTTTAAAGGGATCCACGATTAGTTGTAACATTAGACTTAATTTGATAAACATTTATTTTAACTGTAAAATAGGAACTAAAAATACTGTAGGCTGTTTAGTTTTGTAAATTTTTAAAATATATTTTAACACAAACACCGATGACCTATCCACGTCATCATTTACCCAGAATGGCCCCGTCTGTGTAATATATTTTTTAACTTTTAATTTAAAAATGATAAAACCTAAACAGCCTACAGTATTTTTATAGTCTTTATTTTACAGTTAAAATAGATGTTTATTAAATAAAGTTTAATGTTACAACTAATTGTGGATCCCTTTAACAAAAGATTTTGTGTGATCTAACAGCATTCAGAACATGTGATGGGGATTACTCTACCATTACACCAAATTCAAACTCAATACCTAAAAAATTTAGTTGTTATTTTTGTGTTTTCTAATGTAGACAAGCTGTAATGACCTTTTTGAATTGATTTGACTTTCATTACAATACTTTTAAGATATTTGAACCTTTTGCAAATAGACAGATAATGGATGTTAGACTGGCTGGCTGGCAAGGACAGTAAATTTATAGAGGGTGCCATTGTCCCCTTTGTTGCCCCCATTGGTGGCACTCATGTCCAGAGGCCACTTTTCAGGAGTTAATAAAGCAAAATAAATAAATAAATAATTTAAAAAATACTGAGAGAAATCAACCTAAATGAGAGAAAAACTCAGTTACTAATGGTGCTTGAAGGAGGAGGTGTGGGACAACTCACTACCAGCCTTTAACATGTTCACAGCGGGGACAGGCAAGGGGGAGGTGATGAGGTGAGGCAGGAGAGGAGCATGGGGGGGGKGGGGGGGGGGGGGACCAGAGCCTGCCAATACAGATAAATATTTTATCCCACAATGCACCGAGTCACTGAGACTGGTTCCCAGAGGGGGGGAAAGGGCACAGAGAGGGAAAAATGCTAAGAGCAAAAGCAAAGCAAAAAGCAGGAGAGGAAAGAGCTGAGAGACAAGGCAAAGCCTGGAAGGTAAAGGTGTCCTTAACTTTCACATCCACCGTCAATGATGCTAACAGGCTGTGACATAAGAAACACACACACACTCACACACACATCCTCAGACACTCACAGCATTCACCCACTTACTCAGATTTGGTGTTTCAGACACTTCGCTGTTACTGTACTCTCTCATTCCTGCTGGAGTGTTTCTTGTGAAACTTGATTTGTCACCTCAACTAAGGACGAGGCGAAGAAAGAATAAAATTAGAAAAAAGAWCAACTCATTCCCTGAACATGTCACTATGAGACAGAGCATTGTAAATGTTTGTAGGCTAAAAAAATAATGGTTTTGTCAAAGCACAGAAATCTTCTTAATCTATCTTAATAGTGCATTTGTTGTCAAAGATTCCTAATCTTTGTTTTAAACTTTTTWAAAACATTTAATCCGAACAACTCATGTTTACACACATGAATTTTTTTTTAGCCACACGTGACTATCTTTAATAGTCATACACATGCACACACATCATTTCTACAAGATTACCCAGAATTCCTTGATAGAAAATACTGTACTGGTCTATCTGGCATGAGGTGGAAGAGGGCGGGGCTTTACATAAAACTTTTTTCAACACTGCATGGTGTCATACCATATGGAGCCTGCGAGGGGACATGGGATTTTTTTTGCGTTACTTTGCTATACTTTTTGCATTCTCGCACTAAAGTTTAATGTTTTGTATTAACTGTTATTGACTTTTATTTTGAAATAGCCGGTTACTACAGCAGGATGTGTCGCCACAGGTTTGGGAAATTGATGGTGATATTGCATGGCTGCAAAGAGTTAATATCTGCATATTATATGCCTCCATAAGTGGCTGTGACGCATTAACTCCAAACTGAATTAAAGTAGTAGCTAATACCTTTATAATGGGGAGCACATGAATTTGTTAATAAAAYGGCAGGCTCAACAGTAATAAATGACGCAACAATAGTGTGAGAATGCAAAAGAAAAAAAGATACCCCCCATGTCTCTTTGCAGGCTCGGTAATATCACAACACTTCTAACACTTAACAGTGGGTGAAGCTTATTTAACTCTTTACATAGGTGAGACAACACTGAGAAAATCAACATTGAAGTAATACCAAAGGAATTCCCCATATGCAGCAGGCTAGGAGGTGAATGTGCAGTGATCCACTTTAAAGTGCAAAACAAATTAAAGTTTTTTTTGTTATATTTAATAAATGGAAAGTACAGCAACTTGTCAATTCAATCATTTGTTTTTCTTAATAAAGACAAGTGAAACAATGGCATGTATCTTCCAAACTTTTTTATATGATAGTTTTAAAAATCAGTAAGTTTGATTTTCAGGTCAAGTTTGATTTTTTTTTTTTTTAAAGTAGATTTTGTTGTTTTGAGCAGCAAAAAGTTTTGAAACAATTAAAGATTAATTTCACTCAGTCTGTCTTAATTATGGAGAAGACTTCGCACTAAAATCAGAGCTCACTTTGTTGTTTGTGTTACACAAAACATACTTTTTCCTACATACATTTGTGTACAAATATCTACAATGAAATATTAGCTTCTGAACGCAAGCATTAGGATTTAATGTGGTTGTCACATAGCAACAAAATTTTCATTTGTTTGTTTCTTCACACAAATATGTTCTACTACGTTTAGCTCAATATTTTCATTCAGTAAATGGTATTTCAAGAATAAATTAGAATAATTGTTTTAGGATTTCTTAGATTTTATTTTTCCCAGTTCAGTTAAGGCTATGTTCAGATGCTTACTGCCATATTTCTAGGCTGAAAACAAATAACAGTACTTTGTTTTTGTTAAGACAAATACTGCATTGTGTTACTAGCTGCTGAGACTTAGCCTACTGCTTATTTTAACTTTTATTTACTCTGCTTAAGCTGAAAAGAAGTGGGTTTTAGGGACACAATCTGTCCACTCATCTTCCTTTATTAGACATTGGGCCTCATGCAAGAACCGTTCGTACGCACAGATTTGTTCTTAAGTTGTGCGTACGAGTGATTTAGGAGAATTTGTGGCATTCACCAATGT